ATTTACGACTTTCGATTGCCGTGGCCTGCAGTAGAAATTTCGATTTCCAGTTTATAATTTCTCACCTGCTTTTGGAAAGAGGGTGCGGGGCTGGGACCTCACTTTTCCCCTTCGGTTCCAGATACGCGTTCAGTTCCCGTTGTTGAAGGGCCACTTCTGTTTCCACGCAGGCCCGCACCCAGGTGTCCGAGGCCCCGTGTCTTGGAGCAGAGGCCTGGCTGAGGGGAGCCGGCTGAGCCAGGCCTGAGCGTGGGGGTGTCCGCGCTGCGTCCGGGGGAGGGGCGGGCCGCGCGAGGGGACCCAGAGCCCACCGTCTGCCAGGGCGTTGGTTGAGAAGAATACGTTCTATGGGTTTTTCTGGTTGGAGGAACAAAAAAGCCTTTCTTTCTGAGATGCTATCGATGACCGCTGATTGGCATCTACATTTACAGCTTTAAGAAAGCAGTTACTGATTCATGTGTGGCCGTGCTGGGTCCTCACTGCCGTGCGGGCTCTCCCCTGGCTGCGTGGGCGCCCCTCTCCAGGTGCGGTGCTTGCGCTGCCCGCTGTGGGGCGTCCCCTCCTGCGGAGCCTGGGGCCTCGGTGCTCAGCCTGCGGTGCTTGCAGCACCTGAGCTCAGTAGCGCAGGTGCTCAGGCTTGGTTGCCCCAAGGCGGGGCCGGGGGGTTCCTCCTGACCCAGGGATCAAACCAATGTCCCCTGAATCAGCTGGCAGATTCTTAACCGCTGAACCACCGGGGAAGTCCTCCCTTTACGACTTTCGATTGCCGTGGCCTGCATTAGAAATTTCGATTTCCAGTTTATAATTTCTCACCTGCTTTTGGAAAGAGGGTGCGGGGCTGGGACCTCGCTTTTCCCCTTCGGTTCCAGATACGCGTTCAGTTCCCGTTGTTGAAGGGCCACTTGTGTTTCCACGCAGGCCCGCACCCAGGAGCCCGAGGCCCCGTGTCTTGGAGCAGAGGCCTGGCTGAGGGGAGCCGGCTGAGCCAGGCCTGGGCATGGGGGTGTCTGCGCTGCGTCCGGGGGAGGGGCGGGCCGTGCGAGGGGACCCAGAGCCCACCGTCTGCCAGGGCGTTGGTTGAGAAGAATACGTTCTATGGGTTTTTCTGGTTGGAGGAACAAAAGAGCCTTTCTTTCTGAGATGCTCCCACGTCTGTCTGTAAAACTAGTGTTTCCGTGGGGGGTGGCCATCGGGAGGGTGAAGGCCGCGGGCAGGGGCGGGCAGGGTGGGTGGCGGTGAAGGCCGCGGGCAGGGGTGGGCAGAGTGGGCGGCCGCCCGGGGCCGAGGCCTCCCCGGTGCCCCCGACCTGAGGGTCCCAGGTTTCCTCCGTCCCCCGACTCAGCGGCAGCTGCGTTTGTCTTCTGGTAAGAGCTGCAGTAGCTGCTTGTCATCCACGTTGTGAGACTTCACCAGGGGCCTTGGAAGAACTTGGAAGAAGCCTGTTTCCAGGCCGCTCTGAAGAACTTCCCCAGGAGTGGCTGGGCTGGGCGTGTCTTCGAGGACTCCTGGGTTCCGAGTCTCCCTCATGGCCTTGCTTTCCTCACTCAAGCAGGTGGACTTGTTCCTGGGACGTGAGAACACGGCGGAGGTGCTATAAGTTCCTGTTTTCCTCCATTTCTAAAAATCAGAGGCGCCCTCATTACACGTTGTGGCCAAACGCACAGTGACTGAACGCTAAATTGCCAGAATCTTATCAAAAATCCTCAGCCATGAGAATTTCCAGATACAGCATTTTCTTGAAAGACTAAGATTAAATAGTAATGAAATCTAGCTCTTGAAGGTGGTTTTGTGTGATGCTGAACTAGTCCATCAAATAATACTCCAGATTAGAATTGTGGTGTTATCTAATCTCTTATTCTGCCTTGAATTGAAAACTTTTAAAGCAGTATTTATTGGCTCAAAGAGTGCACTGCTCAGAACCCTAATTGGAAAAGATGCATATACCCCAACACTCACAGCGCTATTTACAGTACGATATCAAAGACGTGGAAGCAGCTTGAGTGTCTGTCAACAGATGACGGATGAGTGGGTAAAGAAGATGTGGTGTTTGTACACACCATGGGATCCTGCGCAGCCATAGAGAAGAATGAAATAATGGTGTTTGGAACAACATCAATAAACCCCAAGGACGGAGGAGCCTGGTGGGCTACAGTCCATGGGGTCGTTAAGAGTCGGACACGACTGAGCGACTTCACCTTCACTTTTCACTTTCATGCACTGGAGAGGGAAATGGCAACCCACGCCATTGTTCTTGCCTGGAGAATCCCAGGGACGGGGAGCCTGATGGGCTGCCGTCTATGGGGTCACACAGAGTCGGACACGACTGAAGCGACTTAGCAGCAGCAGCAATGGATTTGGAAGGTATTGTGCAAAGTGAAATGTCAGACAGAGAAAGACAAATACTGTATGATATCACTTACCTGTGGAATCTAAAACTATAACAGACTAGTGAATGTAACAAAAAAAGAAGCAGGCTCACAGAGAAGAAACTAGCGTTACCAGTGGGGAGAGGGTGACCGTTTGCATCTCCTCGAGAAGCTCTTTTGTTCCGAGTCACAGCTGAAGTGCTGACCTGGATTTGAAAGTGAATGTTCAGGTGTGGAGAATAAATTGCACGGTGAGTTGATAACACCGTCGGCAGAGATGGAGAAACACATGGCCCTTCAGGGATCTTGCACAAAATGAGCCACGGTCTCTACAACATCCCCAAGACGCGGCTCCAGCACCGATTTTAGCCAGATGGTAGCTGCTGCTTCGGAAGCACTGAACGCCAGGGCTGGCCTCAACCCTGTGTGTGCCGTGTGTGTTGTGACTCTGGGGCCCCTCATCAGACCGGGAGGCAGTGAGGTGGGCTTCACTGGTGGGGGTCTGAGCCGGGCGAAGTGATTCGTGTTTATGCACTCGGTCAGCAAGCCAGCCCTGTGGTCTGAGATGCGCTCACACAGACGGGGCAGCGGTTGGCTGTCTCCACCTGCCCTGGGGACGGCGGGGCCGAGTCTGCCCTTCCCCGATCTCAGGTGCGGTCCCTGAAGACCGGGAGGGCGGGGTGCCGGGGATGCTCTGTGGCTGGCCGGCCCTGCAGCCTCGTTGGTGGCGGAGGGGGTTTCTGAGGAGCCCGGGTGCTGCAGAAGGCTGGGCCTTAGGCTCCGAGGGTGCGCCCTGCCCCGTCGGAGGCCGTGAGTCGCTGTGTCCTCAAAATATCTGACCCCCTCACTGTGCCCCTTCTTACCTGCCTTTGCCGTCTCTCTGGGGGTGGGCATTTCATCTTCCTCCTTGGCTGACCCTCAGCTCCTGGGCTCGTCCACCTCCAAGGAGCCCTGGGTGGCACCTCAGCCACCGTCTCAGCAAAGTGGCTTCAGGTCCCTCCTGGCCCCTCCTGGCCCCGTCTGATCTCTCCTGGTCCCTCCTGGCCCCTCCTGGTCCCTCCGGCCCCTCCTGGTCCTGTCTGATCTCTCCTGGCCCCGTCTGATCACCTCCTGGTCCCTCCTGGCCCCTCCTGGTCCCTCCTGGTCCCTCCAGGCCCCTCCTGGCCCCTCCTGGCTTCAGGTCTGATGGGCATGGGGTGAGCACAGTCTGGACCCGCCTCTCGCCGGTTCTGTCCACACTCTCTTCAAGCACCTCCTGTGAACTGGACACTGTGCTGAGCCCGGGGGACCACAGTGAAGAAGGCAGATGGCCTCTCGTCCTGGAGTGAACCTGGGTCAAGTTGCTGGCGACAGACCCGGCCTGTGTGATTGGTGCTCTAAAGAAGAGGTGTGGGTGACTGGGGACATCACTGGCTTGAGGTAGATTTGGGGGGATGCGGTAGTTACTTTTCCATGTGGAGAAGCAGTTTGTCTGTGTCTGCACAAGACTTGACCATCCCTGCTGTTCCCTGCGTGTTCCTGTTCGCCGCCCCCTGCCCCCGGGGTCCCCGCATGTGGGCCCCCGATCGCCTGTGCCCTCTTGACCCTTGAGCTGCTTAGGTCATTGGTCTGGCTCCCTCAGTAAATGAGATAACAGGCCTTGAGCATGCCTTTATTTTGTATCTGTTGGAGAGTCGTGATTTTGCCCTTTCTCGAAAATTGTCTTTTAACAGACGTTGGGTGGAATTGTTTGAAAAATGCTTGACCAAGTCTCGTTCCTGTTCTAACAGAATTCGGTGTCCCCTTCCCCACGTTAGCACTCTTGTCGTCGGGCGTTTCCTCACCGAGCAGGTGTTCACGCCTCTGTCGCAGTTACTGGCCGCTTGCTTCCCGGGCGTTCTCGAGCAGCTGTGTGCTCTGGCCTCTGCTTCGAGATCTGTAGAACTGTGCCACTAACCGTGTGTGGGGGTGAGGTGCCTGCACGTGCATGCAGGTAGACGTGTACATGTGTATGCACATGCGCTGTACAAGTGCATGTGTGTGTGAGTGTGCAGGTAGGTGAACGTGTGTGTGGGCGCATGGAGGTGGACATGTATGTGTGCATGTATATTGTACACACGTGCCTGTGCATGCATGTGTGTGAGTGTACAGGTAGGCATACATGTGCATGTGTGTATACATGTACACACGCACATGTGTGCAGGCGGGTAAACGGGTGTGTGCGCATGTGTGTGCAGGCAGGTATAGGATGTGTGTCCGCATGTGCATGTATGTGCCATGTGTGTGCGCTCATGTCTAGCTTGCCGCCCCGCCCGGCGCCCGCAGCGACCCCTCGGCCAGGGCTGGCTTTGAGCCTTCCGAGGGGCACCGGCCGGCTGGGTGAGAGGAACGAGACTCCACGACTCCAGGAACCAGGGCCTGAGGGGTGGTTCTTCCTGTCTGACTGGCCGCTGGTGCTGAGAACGGGCAGGTCAGCGTGAGCGGAGGCTGTTTCTAACCGAGACTGCAGCTCTTCGGCAGGCTCCAGTTTCAGGGCGGCCTCCGCGGCGTGGCGCTGGGCTCGTCTCCCACAGCCCGGGCAGAGTGAGGACACCGCGCTCCCACTTTTCGGAGCCTGCTGACCTGTTGTTTCCTTGGTCGGCACCTTTTCTGCGGAGCTTGTTCTGAACGGCACTAGTTCCCAGTCTCATGAACAGCCTGGCAGCTGAGTGAGACCTGCCGCTTCGCCCGGGCCCTGAGACCAGCGAAGGTGAGCTCCGGGGTTTACAGTCACCCCGCCCCTCAAGGGAGCCCGGGGGTGGGGGTGCGGTCGTGCGGAATCTGCATCTCAGCAGGTCGCCCTCGAGTCAGGGTCCAGGCCAGGAGCCTGGGCTTGCTCAGCCATGGGCAGATGAGTTGTGGGCGTCCAGGGCAAGGGTCAGGCCACTGGCGCTTTCTGGTGCTGTTTGCACATGCAGTTCTATCATTTATTTATCATCTTTCTACCTAGCATCACCTGTCCGTCATCTTTCTCCTTTCTTATCTGTCATCTGTCTGCCAGTTTTTAACCACGTGGAATTTTTTGTGATGAAATACACGTAAAATTTAGCATTTCACTCATTCTTGTGTACAGCTTGGGGCATTAAGCTCATTATCATCATTGTGTGACAATCACCGCTGCTGTCTCCAGAACTTTCTCATCTTCCAGCTGAAGCTCAGTCCCCATTAAACTCAAACCTGACCCCTGCCCTCCACCCCCCAGTGACTCCTGTTTTGCTTTTTATCTCTGTGAATTTGACTCTTTGAGGGAATTATTTAAAGTTTTTACTTTTATGTATAGCATAATTTTGTTATATTTAACTATGAGAAACTACGTTCAAGCAAAATACTTTTTTTGTCAATGGCATTTAAAAAAATTTAAACAAAATACTTTGAAATGATTGATTTGAAAGAGTTTTTGTTCCGTTAATTGATGCAGTTATATCCAGGTACCTGATCACCCCCAGAAGACATTTCTGATTTTACAATCTGTCTGTGGACAGTGTACTTTCCAGGGAATTGTATTAGGACACACCCAGTCTGTCGAGCAGGAGATAACTAGACTTGGTAAACGTGTAAAATCCTTTGTTTCCTTTGGATTGTTCAGAATCTAACCCTTGGGTTAGAATTACCATGCTCCCCCCTTATCGTCGGGAGATGTGTTCCAAGACCCTCAGTGGATGCCTGAAACTGCAGGTGGTACCAAACTCTCTCTATAAGTTGTTTTTCCTACACCATCCATACATTTGATGAAGTTTAATTTATAAATTAGGAACCGTAAGAGATTAACAACAGTAACTACTAATAAAATACCACAGTTATAACAATACCCTGTAATAAATAAAACAGCACACAATTCAAAAGTTACAAACTGTTTATTTCTGAAATTTTCTATTTAATATTTCTGGGCCATGGTTGACCAAGTGTCATCTGAAACAGTGGAAAGTGAAACCTCAGGTAAGGGAGGTGATTGTTTCAGGAAAACATTTGTTGTGTGCTGTGTATTTCTCAGAAGACTTTATATTATGGAGAGGAAGACAAAAAGCAAATTCTTTTAGAAATACCTAGGGTATCTATTGAGTGGGTACCCCAGATCAGAAGCCATTTTAGATAACTTAATATTTTGAGAAAACCTTTCATAGAGTTAAAGACCTTTCTTAACATGGTATTTGCAGTTCAATCTTGTCTTTGAAGCAAGTTAAAACTTGCTTCAAAAAATCTGAAATGCTTTTAGTTTCCTGCTAGTAAGTAGAGGATTTCACAAATAATTGACTTTTTCTTTGATAATCTCATTTTAAAAATTAATTCTCCCAGGACAACAGAGTATCTGTTGAAGGTAAAAGAGGTTGGGATTTAATATCCTCGTCTGTGAGAGTTTTCGTTTCTTAAAGTTAAATCTGTTATATAAGTGTATTTTCTTTGAATTTGCCATTTTTCTTAATACTAGACTGCTAAACAATGTCCCTTTATTTGAATTGTTCGGTCTTGTCATTGAATTATTTTTAGTAAATCTATGTCTGAAAAGAATGAAGTAATTTGAGAATTCCAGTTTTAATTATTTGACCTTGAGAATTATTTCATAAAGCCCAGTCAGTGAATCGTAGGCGAGGGATTAATTTATGAGCAGGTAACTGTTTGGCTGGTTTGTACATCATATGTATTCTTGCTCTTTGTTCAGGCTTCAAATGGCCAAACAGAAACAACAGAAATGACACAGATGCTGACTTGGGTACATGTCATTGTGTATGTGTTGAAATGTGGAAATAAATACGTTTTCCTCTCTCCCATGTGTTGGCATTTCTTGATTTGGAAATCATTTGGGGTTTGGGTCCCTTTATTTATAGAAGGAAAAAAACCTCATCGTACGGCGTGGGCTGGGTGACTGCGGTTAAGTAGTTGCCGACAGATCTGGGAGGAAGTCCCACAAGACTGGTTTTCGTTCTGTTACTGGTGTCAGCCTGCGGGCCTCCCGACTCCTGGGAGACTCACCTCTTCTGTGTCATGAAGCACGGCTCTGTTTGGGATGCCTTTTGATGGTCACAGACGATTAAAAACAAAGGACCTGTAAATGCAAGCAAACTCAGTTGGATCATAGGATTTAAAACAGTTTATCTTTAAAACTATCTAGGCACCGCCTTGGCTGGGGTTATGCATTAATCGGGGCTGAGTTTTCAGTTCTTCCTTCTGGCGGAAGAGACACCCTCCCTAACGTCGTGGGGCAGGATTTCATTGTTTTCCTCTTCAGGCACTCTGCTTACACTTCCAGCTGGTGACCGGGGCTCAGCCAGGGAGGCGCCTGGTCCTGGGACCACCCCACCCGGTTGGTGAGGCCAGGCTGACATCCCGGGGAGCCTTCAGAGCACGGCCGCCTCAGGGCGTCCACACCTGAGGGGGCTGTTTCCACTGCCAGGACTCCGGCTTCTCGCTGTGCGTGCTTATCTTGCTTGAGGCTTTCTCAGTTTCTGGTAGCAGAGCGGTAGTAGAGCGCATCCCGTGGTTACCTCTTCTGGACGTTGAGGCTGTTGTTCTTAGCCACTCAGCTGTGTCCGAGTCTTTGTGACCCCGTGGACTGCAGCACACCAGGCTCCTCTATCCTCCACTGTCTCCCAGAGCTTGCTCAAACTCATGTCCGTTGAGTCGGTGTTGCCGTCCAACCATCTCATCCTCTGTCGTCCCCTTCTCCTGCCTTCAATCCCTCCCAGCATCAGGGTCTTTTCTAATGAGTCAGCTCTTCGCATCAGGTGGCCAAAATATTGAAGCTTCAGCTTCAGCATCAGTCCTTCCAATGAATATTCACGACTGATTTCCTTGAGGATGGACTGGTTGGATCTCCTTGCAATCCAAGGGACTCTCAAGAGTCTTCTCCAGCACCACAATTCAAAAGCATCAGTTCTTCAGTGCTCAACCTTCTTTATAGTCCAGCTCTCACATCCATACATGACCACTGGAAAATCCATAGCTTTGACTAGACAGAGCTTTGTCAGCAAAGTGATGTCTCTGCGTTTTAACATGCTGTCTAGGTTGGTCATAGGGCTCCTTCCAGGGAGCAGGCGAGCCCAGTCTCGTCCCGCTGACCCAGCTTGGAGAAGGACTTGATCTGGCAGTTTAGCCTTGCGCCCAGGATTTGGCCCCTGGCCCCGAGATCTGGTGCCTGGGGTTCAGGACCGCCTCTGCCTGCGTGCCCCTGGCCCTTGTCTCCTGTCAGCGCTTCCATCAGGCCTGGAGGTCGGGGGGGAGGCCGCAGTCGCCCTGGGGGATGGGAGAGGTTCAGTGGCCGCGGGTGTGACGAGCGTGGGTGCTGTGAACACTGCAGATGTGTGAGCTCTGGGAAGGTTATTCACACGCAGCATGCTCGCCGTGAGAGCCAGACTTGCTCCTGGTTCTGCTCTGCTCGCTGGACGAGGTGACCCCTTGCTCGCGGGGACACTGGTCACTCTGAAGCTCACCTGCTCGTCTGTGACAGCCTCCCCTCGTAAGACACAGCCCACGAGCTGCTGCTCATCTGGATAATTTGTTAGTTTTCTTTGCCATCTTCCTCACCTCTTCCTTTTGGAATTTCTCAAAAAGGACAGTGGGCCAGACGTGGGTGGTGGTTTCTTCTTGTGCAAGGCAGCCTAGAGGTTAAAGCTCATTCGTTTGAGGAGCCCGGGGTCGAGCTGGAATCGGTGAAGCGGCTTTGGGCGTTTCTGTCGCTGTGACTGACCTCTGTGCGCTAGTTAGGGCCTGTTTTCAGGAAGCAGGCAGAGTTGCTGACTCGGGCTCAGAAGGCAGCACGTGACTCTTCATCTTCCCTGAGGTTTGAGTTCCCTGTTATCTTGACATCCTTGTCAACTTCTCCTCCGGAGGGTTCACTGAAGTTCACGAGCGCCTAGCTCGGGAGAGGAGAGGAAGTGGTGGGGGTGCGACAGCAGGTTCTCGTGGCCACCACGTGGATGCTGTCCTTGTTCAGTTCACGACTGTCGGCATCTGTGAATGGGAGGGCCACCGGCCTGCAGCCTGAGTCATACCTTTGTGGAGTGGGAGGTTCCTGGGACTGTCGTGATGAAACTCCGCACGCTGGTGGCTTAAAGCAACAGAAAGGCATCGTCTCATGGGTCTGGAGGCTGGAAGTCTGAAATCAGGGTGTGGGCAGGGCCGTGCTCTTTCTGAAGGCTCCCCCCACCCCCAGCTTCAGGTGGATGCTGGTGTTCCCGGCTGGGGGACGCATCGTCTTTGCATCATCATCCATCTGAGTGTGTGTGTGTGTGAGTTGCTCAGTCGTGTCCAACTCTCTCCGACCCTGTGGGCTGTAGCCCACCAGGCTGCCCTCCGTGTAGGATTCTCCAGGCAAGCATCCTGGAGCAGGTTGCCATGCCCTTCTCACTTCCTCCTCTTACCAGGACACTGTTCTCACTGGATTAGGTTCCAGCCTAACGAATGCATCTCAGCCTGATGACACCTGCAGAGTCCGGAGGAGGTTCCCTTCGCAGGATCTGCGGGTGAGGGCCGCCGTCTTTAGGGCCTGCCACTCCACCCCCGCCGACAGAGAGGAGGCTTTCAAAACTGCCTCTTTTATAGGACAAAACACAAGAATAAAAGATCAAAAGGGACGCAACTTGAAACCCGAGAAAAGAGCGACATAAACCCCCAGTTTCATTCCTCACCTCCCCGTGCTGGGCCTGCCCCGCACCCAATGAACGCGGGCCCCTTTCCACGTGGAGACCCCCTCCTTCCCATGTGGAGACCCGTCCTTCCTGTCCTTCCCGTGTGGAGACCCGTCCTCCCCACGTGGAGACCCGTCCTTCCCACGTGGAGACCCTGTCCTTCCCACGTGGAGACCCCCTCCTTTCCACATGGAGACCCCCTCCTTCCCATGTGGAGACCCGTCCTTCCCACGTGGAGACCCGTCCTTCCTATGTGGAGACCCCCTCCTTTCCATGTGGAGACCCCCTCCTTTCCACGTGGAGACCCCGTCCTTCCCATGTGGAGACCCGTCCTTCCCACGTGGAGACCCCGTCCTTCCCACGTGGAGACCCCGTCCTTCCCACGTGGAGACCCCGTCCTTCCCACGTGGAGACACGTCCTTCCCATAGGGAGACCCGTCCTTCCCACGTGGAGACCCCCTCCTTCCCGTGTGGAGACCCCCTCCTTCCCGTGTGGAGACCCGTCCTTCCCACGTGGAGACCTGTCCTTCCCGTGTGGTGACCCATCCTTCCCACATGGAGACCCGTCCTTCCCGTGTGGAGACCCGTCCTTCCCACGTGGAGACCCGTCCTTCCCACGTGGAGACCCATCCTTCCTGTGCTGGTCGTTTGGCCACTGATGCCCGGCTGGAGAGGACGTGGCAGGTCCGTGGGCGCTGCTCCGTCCTGACACCGGGGCTGCCCCGGGCCGGGTGGGGCGGGAGACTCCTCCCTCTGCTGACCTGACTTAGGAGGAGAAGCAGCCAGGCCAGCGAGGGGGACGGAGCGGGAGCCTAAGGCAGTTCGCGTCCCAATGATCCTTGTGGTCGCTGAAGAGTCTCTCGGCCACGGCCCCTTCCCCTGGGCCCAGCGGCCGGTTTGGCTGCGAGGCTTGACCTCTGGCTGCCGCGGTGCCGGTGCTGGGTGCAGGAGGGCAGCGGGGAGCTGACTCAGGCGGGAGGGGCTGGCGGGGTGGTCTCCGCTCGGGGAGGGCACCGGAGAGGAAGGGCAGATGGGCTGCTGAGACAGTCCTGCCCGCTGCAGGGCCTGGCCTTACGAGCGGCTGCGTTCACACGGGGACACTTGGCAGAGAAGCAAGTGTGCGGTGAGGCTTCACCCGAGACTCAGAACCAAGAGGATGCGTGTGTACACATCCTCCTGAGAGACACAGACAGACAGAGGCAGGGATGGACTTAGACTGGGAGGGGGAGAGTAACTGGCCCTGGGACTGTGTGGTTGGCAGGTCTGAGCTGCTCAGGGTGGGCTGGCAGGCAGGAGACCCGCGGGGAGACTTGTTGCATCTCGAGTCCAAAACCTGGAAGCAGCTTTTGGGCACCAAGGTTGGAAACTCAGGCACGATGTCTTATGACTCAGCTTGTCGTCTGGGGGTGGACTTCCTTTTTCTCCAGGAAATCTCAGTCTTTGCTCTTAAAGCCCTTCAACTGGTGGACAAGGCCCTCCCACATCATGGGGGTGATCAGCTATACTAAGTCAGTTGATTGCCGACATTGATCACGTTCAGAAATACCCACCTGGCGACACCCAGATGCAGATCAGACCACCGACCGGGCACCACGCCCTGGCCACGTCAGCTCGTAAGATTAAACATCACACCTAGCAGCTCAGTGGCGGACACTCAGGCTAATGCACTGGAGCCTCTGGGCGGAGGGTGGACTTTCTGATGAAGCGGCTTTGCACACACAGGTGGAGGCAGCGTGCCCAGCGCTGGCCCACACAGAGATGACCTTCTTTGTCACCCTGGGAAGGCGCACAGACCCTGCACGACGGAGCTTTAGGCATCCGTTCTTTGTGGCCGCTCCTGGGGGCAGCCATTTCCTCAGGCCGGTCTTGCACCAGGCTTCTGTCAGTGTGGACACAGACACGCCGGCGGAACGTTCTGGATCTCGCCTGTGATGGTAATCCATCGTCGAAACTCACCACGCTGTGCACGGCAAAACTAAAGCCGTCCTTCAGGTGGTTTGTTTACAGTGATGCAGGGAAGCTTGGAAACTTTGGAGAAGGGTTTTATCTCACATTTTACACTCATCTCGAACAGGAAGCGCGTCACGGCTCGCTCTGGTCTGAGCTTCTCCAGGCTGTGCTGGGTCGTCTCAGAGACGGCCC